ACAGTGTTCAAAAATACACCATTATGTGTGGTGTTTTTTTTGTGGTGCATTTTGGCATTTCATTCTGGTGTATTCTCGAACACTGTATGATGCATTTATGCATACCTAATGGTGTATGCCGCACGGACCGCACGGAAAGACCTGTTCTCACAGTGTTGAGATATTTGATGATATTAATCATCTATATTAATAGTCATGTGTCTCTTGGGTTTTCCATGTGTCTCTTTGTTTTCTCATTTGTATTTATTTTTCATCATCTTGTTAGCACTGTATATACAAGTGCTTGTATTGAATTTGACACAAGACACAATATATTAGTTTTTCCTCTTCTTCTTGTTTATTTGTATTCTACATGGTATCAGTCGCCAAGGTTTATACCTGTGCATAAACTCATCAATGGCTGACGACGAGCAGCTGCAGGCATTAACAGGGCTGATTAGTGATACAGAGATTTTTGATGATCAATTGAATGGTAAATTTGATCCACGGTTGTGGATAATTGACACAGGGGCTTCTCGTCAAGTTACTGGTGATTCCACTCGAATGACTGATGCAAAAGATATATTTCATTGCCCTGTTGGTTTACCCAACGGAAAAACAGTGGTTGCAACTCGAGAAGGCTCGGCTCGATTAACAGACAAAATTGTTCTTAATCATGTCCTTTATGTTCCGTCTTTAAGTTGCAATCTTATTTCTGTTTCTCAGTTAAATGATGCTATGCATAGCAATGTCCACTTTAACTCTTATATGTGTGCTGTACAAGACCAATCGGGGGAACTGATTGGAACGGGTGTTAGACGGGATGGACTTTACTACTTCAAGGGAATCGATTCTGTGCAACATCCTACAGTAAATGGTGTGACAAGTTCAGTCAATCTTTGGCATCAACGAATGGGTCATCCATCTGAAAAAGTGGTAAAACTACTTCCGTCTATTGGCACTGCTGTGGGAAGTTTTAATAAAGCTTGTGAGGTTTGTTTTCGTGCTAAGAAACCTAGAGATAAGTTTCCTTTGAGTAATAATAGAGCATCTCGAATATTTAAGAAAATACATTGTGATTCGTGGGGTCCTTACAAACATCAATCCTCTTGTGGTGCACGTTATTTCTTGACTATAATAGATGATTATTCGCGAGCAGTTTGGATTTATTTGATGATGGATAAAACTGAGGTTTTTAAAATGTTCTTGTGTTTTGTGGCTATGATTGATAGACAATTCTCTCAATCAATCAAAGTCGTTCAGAGTGACAACGGTACTTAATTCAATTGCTTGTGTGATTTTTTTTTCTAATACTGGAATTCTATTTCAAACTTCCTGTGTGGGAACTCCTCAACAAAATGGTAGGGTTGAGCGGAAACATAAACATATTCTCAATGTAGCGAGAGCTTTGAGATTCCAAGCCAATTTGCCAATTTATTTTTGGGGAGAATATGTTGAGATATTTGATGATATTAATCATCTATATTAATAGTCATGTGTCTCTTGAGTTTTCCTTATGTCTCCTGGGTTTCCCATGTGTCTCTTGGGTTTTTCATGTGTCTCTTTGTTTTCTCATGTGTATTTATTTTTCATCATCTTGTTAGCATTATATATACAAATGCTTGTATTGAAGTTGACACAGACACAATATATTAGTTTTTCCTCTTCTTCTTATTTATTTGTATTCTACACACACAAACCAAATATATATATATATATATATATATATATATATATATATATATATATATATATATATATATATATATATATATACATACATACATATATATATATATATATATATATATATATATATATATATATATATATATATATATATATATATATATATATTTGTTGCTAGAACGATGGACACCATAATGTAAACTTCAAAATAATGACTTAAACTATAAGTTACGATCTATAAATGTTTATTATGTATGTATTCTCTTATCAAATTAGTTTGCTATTTATACCGACCTTCATATATGTTATCTTAATGATCGATGTACTATTTGCCTTTCATTTAGCATGCCCAAAAAGCCTTCATGCTATACTATTATAGGACAGCCAAAAGATTGAAATGCCAACTTCAATTCTTTGGCCCCAACTTTATCTTCCAAGCTAGCTTATTACTTTAATCCCTTTTTATCAGGATATGAAAGAGTAGGTATATCTCAGTATTACATACATAGAAGGAAATACGTTTAAGAACTTCCACCCTACAATTTATTTATTTATTTATTTATTTATTTTTTTCAAGATCAAACGCCTATCCCTATGCCAAAATTATAATTAGTAGTTAAGTGCAACTTTATTTAATTTTTTTATACTTGCATAACAATTAGTGTTACATTTTGATGACATGATGCTGAACTTGACTCTCCGAGTTGCCGTCTAACAACCCCCTAGCACTTATTGATACCAATTGTGAGATCAAGCGCTTACCACTGCTATACAAAAAAGTTATAATTAGTAGTAAAGACAACTTTATTTCATTTTACTTGCGTAAAATATCACATTTCGATGACAAAATGCTGGACTCAACTCTACAAGACGCCGCCTAGCACCTCCAGCCTCAACTACTATACACCTGCTCTGATATCAATTATTAGATTAAGGGCCTATCACTATGTCAAAAATTATAGACTTATAGCTAATAGCAATTTCATAACTTTATTTCCTTATACTTACATATCAGTTAACTAGAATGGTGTTTTGATAACATAATACGAGATTTCGCTCAACATGCTATTTTGGTAGTCGTGAAATGTGAGAATCATTTTTTAGTACTGCTGACTCTGTTACAATGTAGTATATATTCATAACTACTTTCTCAACCTACTGAAGCACAAAGAGTCAATATCGCCTCCACTGGGGCTCAAATGTAAGATCTAAATATAGTCTAACCATACAGAAAAGAATATACGAGAAACCTAACCTCGTAGTAGCGAAAGCAGTGTAGATCTCCAGTCATATTGATCTTGTTGTGTTGCCTCTTGAACGATAAACCTGTAGAATAACCTTAGCCGTTTTGTCTCACACTTGACTCAGAACCTTAGATGGTGTATTGGTATTATTCTGAGCAGCATGAGTACCATAGCTTAAGGTAATATATATAGTATCATGTTTCCCATCAATACATGCTTTATATTAGGCACAGGGCCTAATAGAACAACTATTTCTAGTTATTCAGTCCAACTAGACTACTTAATAAGCCCATTAACTTGTATAACATAATTAAGACCCTAATGTATAATATGTACTCCCTCCGTCCCGAATTGGTTGTCTCATTTGCTTTTTGCATGCTTTTTAAGGAATTAAAATAAATGCTATGTATTTTCCAATTATGCCCTTCACTTTTTCACTTTTGGAAATAAAAGCAAAAGTCATAAGGGTAATTTAGGAAAAAGTAGAATGATGGTGATGTTCAATTTTAGAAAAAGGACAACATTTTGGGACAAACTAAAAAAAAAAGAAAGTAAGACATGCAAAATGGGATAGAGGGAGTATTATTATAAAGGAAACAATAAAAATCTTACAACAAACTCATGACCTTCCATGTGAGAGAGCCAGTAACTATACCACAAGATCATTGGCGTGAAATGTGAGAACCTAGTTGAATATGGCAAGGTTAAGTGGGTGGTTGGGTGGGAGTAATGGAGGGTACGTGTGTTGATGTGCACCATGTTAGGTGATTTTAGACGACAGAAGAATCTACAAAGTGGAAATGTCTACTTGATTCCTATGTCAACAGGGATCGGAAACAAAGTCCAAGGTAGCTTTGAGGAAAAGTAGACGAGGTAGGGAGTCACCATGTAGTCAATCCGTATTCATGCTGACGGGGATATATAAAGCTTCTGCCGCCACTTTGTCCCTCAACTCTCAAAATTTCTGTGCAATTAAACCATACTATATTATCATCCCTTTTTATTTATTTATTATTTATTGTTGTTGGTGGGCTGGTGTTTTGACCAAATTCTTTATCTCTATTATGTTGGATGAATGTCAAAAGACATCTTAGAAACACATTCCCATATGTATAGTAATTGCATACACCAACAAATGTCTATATAATGTAATATATACATTTAGAAAGTATTGAAAATTTTTTGATTTCATTGTTGTTACATGTATAAACCTTTTGTTAATTTTATTAGAGTACGGCGTTGAGTTGATATAAACTATAAAGTTATACTCGTATATGTAAAAACGATGAAAATGAACTAAATATAGATTGACATACACAAAAAATTCTGGGGTGTAAGGCCAAATTTTACTAGTCTTAGGGTATGTGCATGTACAATATGTGAAGCATATTTTGGTATTTTGGGGGGAAGATGAAGTAGAAATTACCTAGTATGTTGAACTTGGTTAGAGATAAAATGTAGGGCTCGAGTGGTTTGATGTGGAGAGTATGATCCATGTTTCAATAATAAGATCGAGAGATTGGACTTAACCCTCTAGGTGTTCAGCTGGAGGGTTGGAGGGTCGAATGTATAGTATAACATTCCGTGTCACCGAAACATGCCACTAACTGCATATTCATTATATTACTAGCTATAACTTTTGGAGTAATAGTATGCGCTTGGTCTTGACACTAAGCCTCCGCCCGACAATATCCAATCCAACGATCAATATTAGGTACTATATATATATATATATATATATATATATATTCCGCTACGTCAAAAGCTATAATAACTGGTAATGAATGCACAACTTTACTTCATTATATTTGCATAACAATTAACTCAACGTTTCAATATCAAGATATTGAACTTGACCCTCGAAGTAATTAAGCCTCCGCCCAACTCTCCCATCTCCAAATATTTAATAAATTATCTCCTCATTCAAGGCTATAGTAGCTTAGCTCAGCCGAGAAATGTTGAATGTATGAGGAAATAAAGCATCATATCATCGGAGCCAAATTGTTGAATATTTATATGCGTGCAAGTAATAGATATAGTTGTGGAATCCACACGCAAAAGTAGATCAAAGACCTTTATCGCAACCAATGAGAGAATCCATCCCCATAGGATTAATTTGTCCATTCAATGAATTTCATTTCAATTCCTACTCATTAATTAATATACAACAACAAATTCATTAACTAATAATAACATATTGTACATTCAATTTCCTACTTCAATCAATATAATCGGTGAGATTCGCTGATTATCCTTCAATTCCCTCATGCACTTTATTGGCTCTTCTAGTTTAATAATGATGAAAACATGTAATCCAGGCCAGCAAATATACAAACATCCAGTACACCAAGCTTTGATAGTCCATTTCTTTTGCCTGTTCAATTATTGACAATATAATTAGTAAGCAGCAGAAAACGGGAAGAAAAGGCAAAAAGTCACAACAGCTAGCATGCATGAATGCCACATATTATCTCCTATCTATTTGCATAATCAAATACAATATTATTTTAATTATATTCCCCAGGTAACATACTTAGCTTATCAGTCAATTTTAACTTATTTGACCACTTAACTATTTAACTTAGTTAAATAGCCAATATAAGTGTTTGATTAATTAACTTTATGTAATAGCTTATTACCCTAAAAACACTAAAATTCAAAAAGGTACTCAAAATAACTTTTTTGATCAGCTTTTTGAGAAAGTCATTTTGCATGTAATATCAGTTAATTTACCAAACATCTTTCTGCAATCAGCTAATATTATAACTAGTCAAACCCACTAACACAATCAGCTAACAGCTATCGGCTAACACTATTTACCAAGCACCCCCATTATCTCCTAATCCTTTCTCTTTTATAAGGTACCCGATTAGTATAGATACTATATGTCTGGTTGCATTGAATATTGTGGAAATTTGGTTGACAATACTTAGGCTAATCTTTTCTCTTTTTTCAATTAAGGTACTGATATCTTTTGTACCGAATACAATAGATATCTTTTGTACCGAATACAATAGATATATATGTCTGATTGCACTGAGTATTGTAGAAACACTATCGGAAATTATGGAATTTCCGATCACCTGAAAGTGATCTTAAATTAAGTCGAAAGTCTTGTTCCGGCCACTTTTGGTATCCGGAAAAATCTTTGTTGCTATTTCCGACCATTTTTTGGTTTTAACTTTATTCAAGATCACTTTCAGGTGGTTGGAAATTTCATAATTTCCAGTAGTGAAATATTATATTGAGCGGCGGCGTCATTACCTTTATTGCAGAGGAATACACGGGAGCGGCGGAAGCTGGTGAGGTCGACGACGATGGTGAGGAACCTATGCCGACATTATAAGCCATTGTTCCATCTGGTCGGAACAAGCCATAGTTCCTCTCCGAGGTGGGCCCAGGCTTCATATCTTCATTAAACAAAGCGAAAACGTAAGCTTCTAATCCCACCTTCGGCCGGTACGGCGTCCCTTCTTGCGCCGCCTGCCGGCCCATCAAGTTCCTGTTATAAATCGCGGCGTTCTCCGGCGTGGCGCCGCTCTCGTCGGCCCCGCCCTTCGACGGCCACCCCGTCTCCGAAACCCTCACATCCAAGCCGGAGAATCCCATCCGGGAAATGGCGAAGATCACGGCGTCCACCTGAGCGTACAGCATGTTGTCGTAGCGGAGCTTGGTCAACGGGTCAACGGTGCCGGAGTTTGGGTTGAAGAGGACGTAATCTAGAGAAATCTGATCCGGGTCGTCTTTGTATGCGAAGTACGGGTAAGCGTTGATCCAGAACGGCGATTTCGTCGCCGCCAAGAACTGCAAAAACTGCCCCATCGTCTCGCCGAGGTCCGGCCGGAAACAGCCGGCGGACGGCGGGAAGGAGCTGGCGAGGACGGCGACGGAGTGCGGGGAGGAGACGTGGATGGTTTGGTCAAGCCCCTCTCTCACGAGCGCTGCATGGATGTTAACCATGGCGGGTACGAGGTGAGGGATTAAGGAAGGGTCGCCGTCGGTGAAAATCTCGTTGCCGACGGCGATTCCGACGACCTTCGTGGCCGGAATGTACGGCACAATGTGGGTGGCCACCCATTGCAGCGCCTGCTGCGGGTCGCCGCCTAAGGTGGACAGCATTTGATTCTCGACCGTGACGATGAGTTCAACGTTGGAATTCGCGAACGCATTCAAGATCTGAGGGTTTGTGTCGTAGATTCTTGCTTTTGTGATGGTGAGGGCTTGCAAGAGTTGCAGGACTTTTTCCGGCGAAGGTAAGTTGTTGCCAACTTGGCCGTAGTTTATGCCGAGGCATTCGACTTCTCTTAATAAACCTGTTAGGAGAGTGAAGAAGAGAAGTAGAAGTGCAGACATGGCGATTCTTCTGAAAGAAGTATCCATGGAAAATAAAGAATAGGTGAAGGTGATGGTAGGATGCAGGGTTGGTTTTTGTGTTATTAACTACAAAATACACGAGTGTAAAGAGATATTTATAGACACAAAGTACACCAAATATGACTAAATTAAAGTGTCTTGCTACAAATATTGAACTATTGAAGGAGTGTGTGTATATATATAAAAGAAGACCAATCGCTCCCACAAAGAGTTGAATTTGAAATATTATAGTTACTAAACTAACAGTTTGATCAACTTGAATGGGAATGAAGCGTTATGCCGTGGAACCGTGTCCACCTTGCCCAAACGACGCCGTTTTCATGTGGTTGAGTAACGGTGCCGTTAGTGTAGATTCATAATTTTTATACTGTAGATTTATAAAATTTATATTGTAGATTCATAATTTTTAAACTGTAGATTCATAATTTAAATACACTAGATTCATAATTTTTATAAGTAGATTCATAATTTTTATACTGTAGATTCATAATTTAAATACACTAGATTTATAATTTCTATACTGCAGATTCATAATATCTATACTGTAGATTCATAATTTCTAAAATGTATAGTTATTTATGAACATATCCCCCTGTAACGAACGAATAACGCCATTAACAGCTCTTCAAAATATTATTTTTTTAAAAAAAAATTAGAATAAAAAATGACGCCGTTTTGGGAACGTGTCCACCATGCATGGTGGACGCATTTCCAAAGCATAATTTGCCGATGGCAATTTGAGTTAATTTTAGTTACTAGCGATGCATTATCGGGTGGGGTGGTTTGAAGGGACAAGTCCAACATTCTGCCACCGAAACGTGACACTGGCGGTTAAACAAGTATAAAGAAATAAAGTAACATCGACTGATAAGTGCTTAGATCTAACAATTGGTAGCAAATATTAAAAAAAAAAAAAAAAGTATTGCATTTGCTACTAACTAACTATATTTGTGGTATAGTGGTAATATAAGCGCTTGAACATAACATATATATGTTTATTCTAATTTATTAGGATGATAAAAAAATGTCACTTTAGTAATAACTTAAGAATTCAGAATATATAGTGACGGGACTAAATCTATTATTATCTTATAATTCAAGAATCAAAAGTATATATAATTCTCCATTTAAAAAATAAATAATCTATTTTGAAATTTTGTTGGCCTAACTTGGTCATCAAATCTTCTTATTTTTCTCCTAGGTTATAATCTAGCTAGGATAGACTTGTTTTCGCTCACCTTGAGTTTTTGGTGTCTTTTCAATTAGGATATATAGCACTTGAGCATAGCATCCATTATATTTGACTAGTATACCCTCAAGATCAGATCCCCATCCAGCACTTTCTTCATGCAAAGGTAAAGGGCTCTTATTTTATTTTGGCTAAAAGTAGTAGCACGCAATCCTAAACAATTGGGGTGTGTACGTAAGATTTGTTGTAATAATTAACTTAAAAGGTGTAAGTCTAGTCCGTCTCAAGTTTTTACATCTCTTGATGATAACTTTGGGACAGATTCCATGGCAATGTGATGATTAAGTTACCATCCATGACCTAGCATCTGCTGTGCTTTTCTTGTGATGTCAAAAGTTTGTCCCAAGAAAATAAATATTAACTCCAAAGGGGTTAGCAATAATGCTCAATTCATCATGTTTAATTTATGGAAAAACGAATATTGAATTGGTGTTGACTAGATGATCGAGTATAACTCATGACAATTTGTGGTATTGATGTTTATTGATTTGGCCCTCCTTCTTATTGAGCATACTAGTATTTTTTATACGCAATGCGCAAAAAATAGGTGCCCAATAGTAATACATTATATTAAAATTTTAAATTTATTTAGATTTTAGATATTTAAAATAATAATAATAATAATAATAATAATAATAATAATAATAATAATAATAATAATAATAATAATAATAATGTAAATCATTTTTATAAATTTGATATTTATATTTATGTAATATGAAACATATAACTCAAATATTTAATGTGTATATATTATTATTAATGAAGAAGATACGAAAATATATGGTGGATGCATGTACATGGTAACAATAGTGGAAAAGATAACGGAAGTTATAACAGTAGGGGTATGTTTGTTCAAAATATTTTAATGTACAACATTTATAGCATAATGTACAAAAAAAACTTAACGGAAAAACGGACATAAATCAGGGGCATAACTTTTATTCACACTTATTATGTTTTTAGATAATATATAAATAAGAATTAATACTACAAATAGTCCTCTGACTGTTGGGCTAATATTCTTTTTAATCATCGACTTTCAATTCGATCAAAACACGTATTTTAGTTTTCATGCATTTTTTATCACAAATAGTCATCCGTTAAAATTTAGGGTTAAATGGGTGTTAAACTTATGGGTATTATTATCAAATCAATTAATATGATTATTGTACCATTTAGTTTGTCCGTCATTATAATTGAATGATGATGTGTTTTGTTTTAACTAAAAGTTTAAATAGATAATGAAACTATTGTTGGACGGCGTCTTGGACAGCTTAGTCCAGCATCATGCCATCGAAATATGGCGTTGACTGCTATGCAAGTATAAAGAAATAAAGTTGTGCCTTCATTATTAGCTTAACTATATAGTAGTGCGTCTGCACTTGCAGCTCAGTTTGGATGGCTGCAGCATGGGAGTTACACCCAATGTAGCAATGTGAGTCATCCAACTTAGCGAGCTGTTGGGTCACCGTGATTTATCACAATGCGTTGAGCCACCGTGGTTTATCACATATAGTATCAGTTCAATATACTTTCTCCATTTGTTGTAGACCAAAGAGTTAATTAATACCCACAACCGGGGTTCGGTCCTGTGACATTCTCTCAAGGAGAGCCACATAGGTGCCAACTGAACAAAAGGATGGATAATTGAGCTTAGAGGTTAGCAAATATGTCCAAATATTTTTCCTAATTATTCTAGGCAAGTTGTATTTGTATTTCTTCATAAGTCTTTATCTTTGTATGATCAAAGTGGCTCTTCTAACATCATATTTATCCAGAAGTTAGTTTTGTAGCTAGAATGGACTCTTCTAAAGTTATATATTTATCTATAAGAGCCCATCTTCCTCGAGTAAAAACTACAGTTAGACTTTACCCACAAATCGAATCTGAATTAATTAATAGGGATATCAAATGTTGTATACAAAAAGTTTATACTTATCCAGGAGTTAATTTTGTAGTGGATATTCCGTCAAAAAAAAATATAGTGGATATTCTAGCTAATATTGGTGTGCATATACATTATATTCTTCTAGTTTTTATAATTTATAGGAAAAATTGTTAAATAGGCCATGACTTTATACAAAAAAGTAATTAGGTCTCTAAATTTTAAAAAATTATAATTAAACAAATTAACTTGTCAATTTGATGTCATTAAATGAAATAGCCGACCACCGAAAGTTAACTAATAAAAATGTTGATGTGGCAATATTTATTCAAATAAATTAATTTTAAAAGAAAAAACATATCGTGAAGTCGTTACTTGGAGTTCGTCAGAGAATCACCAAAAGGTTTACTGCTGATGACCATTATATTTTATAAAAAAATATTTTTTGGAGTAATTTATTTTTTTATTAAAAATTAACACGTCTTCATGTTTTTACATGTTTTACCTTATATTTATCATATACTTGACTTAATTATAACAATTTGACAAATTATCAATTAGAAGTGTCTAATTGTAACTTTTTAAAATTTCATAGGCTTAATTGTTTTTTTCCTATAAAGTTCAAGAGCTTGTTTCACCATTTCCTTAATTTGTATGTTGATTTTTCTCTATTTATTAAGAGAGATTAACTTTTTAATTTTAGACAATTCTCCATATTTGTGATTGAAAAATTCTCATTTAAGTAATTCTAATTCTTTTGTAGAAAAAATAAAAATAAAAAGGTGGCTCTTTAGAAAGCAAACTTTCACATTGCCACTATCAAAATCTGTCAGATTTAATTAAATATAATTAATCTATAATTTTATGGAAATTAAAGAGAAAAATGAAACTCCTCCCTACTAAAATTAAACAAAAACTTAAATATATGTCATTGGATTATAAGGTTGTTGGCGATTAAAGAATATTAAAATTGTTGGTAAAGCAAATTAAAGAAAATAAATGAGATAAGGAAAAAGGATAAAGCAAAAAGATTATGTCTCTCAAGAACTTTAATTTTATGTGTTTGCTACCAAGAATATTATATATAATACTAGTTACCACACGCACAGTGCGTGAACAGTCTAATGCTCAATGTGTATTTTAAAAATTAGTGTTTTAAGAATTTTTCAAAGTATCATTCGGTATCCTGGCGTATATCAATGCAAGATTTTCCAATTTTTCATAAAAGTAAATATTTCAAGAATGCATAACTATGACCTGTGGCGTAATTTTTCATAAAATTAACTGGTGCAATAAAAGTTTTAGAGGGAAACACACTAACTACATAGTAGCCAAGCATAATTTTTGCAACACAAAATCCTATTAATTGGCGTGATCCATGCTTCCTCTTGTTACCACTTCTACAAAAAATGATGAATTCTTGATTTAATCTAGTTCCCTGTTGTGCTACTTCACTGTAATTTTAGTGTATTGGCGCAGTGCACCTTCAAAAACAGAACCAAATTCTCATTCCCAAAAAGACAATGATAATATGCATAGTTTCTCATGTGTTAGTTGAATATATACTGTAAATTAGGTATACCGTTTCATCAATGTCCAATGCGTGATTCTAATTAATTGATCAAAGTTCATGTTAAATTTTATTTTGTATTTTACTAATACCTACATATTCATAGTTTATGTTTAACAATTATGTCAATTTTGATTGGGATGGAGTTTGAACCTGAGACCTTATGAAAATTAATGAGTATGTTAAGAATAATAAATAGTTAACGAAATATTTCATTACTAAATTTTACACTGACGGAATGCAAGGGTATTTAAGAAAAGTAAATGATATAATAGACGTTAAAGTAGAAAAAAAAAATCTAAAATCAAAATAATATGAACCATTCATTTAAAAAAATAATT